GTAGGTCAAACTAGCCTTGCTGCAGCCGCAAGCCAAGTCGAATGAAAAACTCAGCGTGTAGGGTGAGTGAACATCATGATGCCTCGCGACACAAATAGGTCAAACAGGACTTGCTGCAGCCCTTGAATATGCCGGAGCGCTGCCACCGCAGCCGCACGCTCTCCCACTGCGTCCAGGTACGCCGCTCCACCTTCCATGCTTCCTTCTAGTCGAGGCAGTCCAGATAACCTGTCATAAAGTACCACGCGCGGCCTGTACGTATTGAAAAAGGAGCCCCCCCTTTCCGGCCGGAAGCTTGAAGGGAAGGCAGCTCCTCTGGTGTCATGGTCTCGTGAGGTCTGTAAGTTGTTATAGAGGTCGGATACAGAGCTGCCAGGATGCCTTGGCATACGAGTGCAAAGGCACTCCCTACCCACTCAAGGGCTAGGCTATGCCAAGGCACTGTCGCCATAGCTCTCACACAGCTATGGTGCCTGGCAGGGTAGGTGGCGCGTAGCAACGGTAGAACCCGGAGTTCAAACGCCCCACCTACTCAGCCGCGACTATCGAGGACCGGGCGCCGCCACCGCTGCTGTCGCCGCTACGTTAACGCGCACTCGCGCCGAGGTTCCGTTTTTTGGTTCTGTAGTTGGGTCTCATCTGTGGTCTTCCATTTGGTACTAAGCGGCTTTTTTTCTTTTCTTTTCTTTTCTTTTCTTTCTTTTCTTTTTTGAACTACTAGTTTTTTTCTTTTTTCTTTTTTTTTTTTGAACTACGAGGTTTTTTTTTTTTTTTTTTTTTTTTTTTTTTTTTTTTTTTTTTTAATTCGGGGAACCGGGCCCGGCATCGCAACTTCAGGGGCATGGTCCCACTAGAAAAGAGGATCGGATCGAATGCCTGAATCTGGACGAGGTTATGGAGAAGTGCAGGAAATCGAGATTGAACTGCTTTTCTGCATCTCTGCATAAAACACATCCAGATTCAGGATCTCGATCCTATCCTTTTTGCTACTAGTGGCACCTCGCCCCAGTTGGTCGGGTAAGGAACTTTCCAAGGTTCGTCCGGTGTTGCTTAGGGTAGGAAAAAAAAAAAAAAAAAAGGAGTAAAAGTTTTATTTTTCTCATCTCCGTCGTATCGACGACTAAAAAATTGAGTGAAGAACATAGCTTTTTGAAAAAAAAAAAAAAAAAAAAAAAAGACCCCTCTGATGATCCTGGTGGGCGGGCAGGTGAAACCTGTAGGGTCAACCGCCGGGCGAGAGTTTCGTCGTATCTGTTCTTCTGACTTCTTCATGGTTATCTTTAACTTCAAGTCGCGTTCGGGACATCGATCACACAGCTGCTAAGTTCTAACATCGTCTGTTTTCCTCCCTCTTACTGTGTGCTCCCCTGGGGGGTGGTCCCACTAGCAAAGAGGATCGGATAGAAATCCTGAATCTGGCCATGTTGTATGCAGAGATACAGAAAAGCAGTTCGAGCTCGATTTCCTGCTCCTGTCCTCGAACACGTCCAGATTCAGGCATTCAATCCCATGCTCTCTTGCTAATGGGACCACGGCCCTGGTCTAATCTTCCTCCTTCATATGCTGTGTGCTTGCCTGCACGATGCGTGTGTTTTGAGACCATTGTCAACTTCTAAGCTTTACGCTTGCAATGCCCTTGGGAAAAAAAAAAAAAAAAAACAACAACACGATGCCCTTGACGTTTGCCGGCAGCATCAAATATGAACTGTTTTCTTGCCTTGTGCCCGTTTAAAAGTTTTCTAAAAGAAAAAAAAAAAAAAATTGTTTTGTTTTCTGTTTTTCTTTTTGGATGCCGCATCTTTTTTAAATGTCCTTCACTTTTAATTTTCTACAAACTCGTTT